TTTGTCTCTGTGTCTCTTTCTTTTCTCAAGTCTCTCATTCCACCTGATGAGAAACACCCACAGGTGTGGGGGGCAGGCCACCCCTTCAAAAGGGAGGGATAGCATTAGGAGAAATACCTGATGTAGATGATGGGTTGATGGATGTAGCAAACCACCATGGCAAATATATACTTATGTAATAAACTCACACATTTTGCACATGTATGTATCCCAGAATTTAATGTATAATAATAATTAAAAATAAATAAATAAACAGGAATAAATACACAATAAAAACTTTTTTAAATTATACTTTAAATTCTAGGGTATTTGTGCACAACGTGCAGGTTTGTTACATATGTATACATGTGTCACGTTGGTGTGCTGCACCCATTAACTCGTCATTTACATTAGGTATATCTCCTAATGCTATCCCTCCCCCCTCCCCCCTCCCCACAATAGGCCCTTCCTGTGTCCAAGTGATCTCATTGTTCAATTCCCACCTATGAGTGAGAACATGAGGTGTTTTCTTTTCTGTTCTTGCAATAGTTTGCTGAGAATGATGGTTTCCAGCTGCATTCATGTCCCTACAAAGGACATGAACTCATCCTTTTTTATGGCTCTATAGTATTCCATGGTGTATATGTGCCATATTTTCTTAATCCAGTCTGTCACTGATGGACATGTGGGTTGATTCCAAGTCTTTGCTATTGTGAATAGTGCTGCAATAAACATACGTGTGTATGTGTCTTTATAGCAGCATGATTTATAATCCTTTGAGTATACACCCAGTAATGGGATGGCTGGGACAAATGATATTTCTAGTTCTAGATCCTTGAGGAATCGCCACACTATTTTCCACAATGGTTGAACTAGTTTACAATCCCACCAACAGTGTAAAAGTGTTCCTATTTCTCCACATCCTCTCCAGCACCTGTTGTTTCCTGACTTTTTAATGATTGCCATTCTAACTGGTGTGAGATGGTATCTCATTGTGGTTTTGATTTGCATTTCTCTGATGGTGAGTGATGATGAGTATGTGTCTGTTGGCTGTATAAATGTTTTCTTTTGAAAAGTGTCTGTTCATATCCTTTGCCCACTTTTTGATGGGGTTGTTTTTTTTTTTTTCTTGTAAATTTGTTTTGAGTTATTTATAGGTTGTGGATATTAGCCCTTTGTCAGTTGAGTAGATTGCAAAAATTTTCTCCCATTCTGTAGGTTGCCTGTTCACTCCGATGGTAGTTTCTTTTGCTGTGCAGAAGCTCTTTAGTTTAATTAGATCCCATTTATCAATTTTGGTTTTTGCTGCTGTTGCTTTTGGTGTTTTAGACATGAAGTCCTTGCCCATGCCTATGTCCTGAATGGTATTACCTAGGTTTTCTTCTAGAGTGTTTATGGTTTTAGGTCTAACATTTAAGTTTTTAATCCATCTTGAATTAATTTTCCTATAAGGAGCAAGGAAAGGATCTAGTTCCAGCTTTCTACTTATGGCTAGCCAATTTTCCCAGCACCATTTATTAAATAGGATATGCTTTCCCCATTTCTTGTTTTTGTCAGGTTTGTCAAAGATCAGATGGCTATAGATGTGTGGTATTATTTCTGAGGGCTCTGTTCTGTTCCATTGGTCTATATCTCTGTTTTGGTACCAGTACCATGCTGTTTTGGTTACTGTAGCCTTGTAGTATAGTTTGAAGTCAGGTAGCGTGATGCCTCCAGTTTTGTTCTTTTGGCTTAGGATTGTCTTGGCAATGCGGGGTCTTTTTTGGTTCCATATGAACTTTAAAGCAGTTTTTTCCAATTCTGTGAAGAAAGTCATTGGTAGCTTAATGGGGATGGCATTGAATCTATAAATTACTTTGGGCAGTATGGCCATTTTCATGATATTGATTCTTCCTATCCATGAGCATGGAATATTCTTCCATTTGTTTGTGTCCTCTTTTATTTCACTGAGCAGTGGTTTGTAGTTCTCCTTGAATAGGTCCTTCACATCCCTTGTAAGTTGCATTCCTAGGTATTTTATTCTCTTTGAAGCCACTTTGAATGGGAGTTCATTCATGATTTGGCTCTCTGTTTATCTGTTACTGGTGTATAAGAATGCTTGTGATTTTTGCATATTGATTTTGTATCCTGAGACTTTGCTGAAGTTTCTTATCAGCTTAAGGAGATTTTGGGCTGAGATGATGGGGTTTTCTAAATATACAATCATGTCATCTGCAAACAGGGACAATTTGACTTCTTCTTTTCCTAACTGAATACCCTTTATTTCTTTCTCTTGCCTGATTGCCCTAGCCAGAACTTCCAACACTATGTTGAATAGGAGTGGTGAGAGAGGGCATCCCTGTCTTGTGCCAATTTTCAAAGGGAATGCTTCCAGTTTTTGCCCATTCAGTATGATATTGGCTGTGGGTTTGTCATAAATAGTTCTTATTATTTTGAGATATGTTCCATCAATACCGAATTTATTGAGAATTTTTAGCATGAAGGGCTGTTGAATTTTGTCAAAGGCCTTTTCTGCATCTATTGAGAAAATCATGTGGTTTTCGCCTTTGGTTCAGTTTATATGCTGGATTATGTGTACTGATTTGCGTATGTTGAAGCAGCCTTGCATCCCAGGGATGAAGCTCACTTGATCATGGTGGATAAGCTTTTTGATGTGCTGCTGGATTCGGTTTGCCAGTATTTTATTGAGGATTTTTGCATCAATGTTGGTCAGGGATATTGGTCTAAAATTCTCTTTTTTTGTTGTGTCTCTGCCAGGCTTTAGTATCAGGATGACGTGGGCCTCCTAAAAAGAGTTAGGGAGGATTCCCTCTTTTTCTATTGATTGGAGTAGTTTCAGAAGGAATGGTACCACCTCCTCCTTGTACCTCTGGTAGAATTCGGCTGTGAATCCATCTGGTCCTGAATTTTTTTTGGTTGGTAAGCCATTAATTATTGCCTCAATTTCAGAGCCTGCTATTGGTCTATTCAGGGATTCAACTTCTTCCTGGTTTAGTCTTGGGAGTGTGCATGTGTCCAGGAATTTATCCATTTCTCCTAGGTTTTCTAGTTTATTTGCATAGAGGTGTTTATAGTATTCTCTGATGGTAGTTTGTATTTCTTTGGGATGAGTGGTGATATCCTCTTTATCATTTTTATTGCATCTATTTGATTCTTCTCTCTTTTCTTCTTTATTAGTCTTGCTAGCCATCTATCAATTTTGTTGATCTTTTCAAAAAACCAGTTCCTAGATTCATTGATTTTTTGAAGGATTTTTTGTGTCTCTATCTCCTTCAGTTCTGCTCGATTTTACTTATTTCTTGCCTTCGGCTAGCTTTTGAATGTGTTTGCTCTTACTTCTCTAGTTTTTTTTTTTTTTTTTTTTTTTTTTTTTTTTTTTTTAGACAGAGTCTTGCTCTGTTGCCAGGCTGGAGTGCAGTGGCCAGATCTCAGCTCACTGCAAGCTCTGACTCCCGGGTTTACGCCATTCTCCTGCCTCAGCCTCCGGAGTAGCTGGGACTACAGGCGCCCGCCACCTCGCCCGGCTACCTCCCGGGTTTACGCCATTCTCCTGCCTCAGCCTCCGGAGTAGCTGGGACTACAGGCGCCCGCCACCTCGCCCGGCTAGTTTTTTGTATTTTTTAGTAGAGACGGGGTTTCACTGTGTTAGCCAGGATGGTCTCGATCTCCTGACCTCGTGATCCACCCGTCTCGGCCTCCCAAAGTGCTGGGATTACAAGCTTGAGCCACCGCGCCCGGCCTTCTCTAGTTCTTTTAATTGTGATGTTAGGGTATCAATTTTAGAACTTTCTAGCTTTATCTTGTGGGCATTTAGTGCTATAAATTTCCCTCTACATACTGCTTTAAATATGTCCCAGAGATTCTGGTATGCTGTATCTTTGTTTTCATTGGTTTCAAAGAACATCTTTATTTCTGCCTTCATTTTGTTATGTACCCAGTAGTCATTCAGGAGCAGGCTGTTCAGTTTCCATGTAGTTGGGTGGTTTTGGTTGAGTTTCTTAGTCCTGAGTTCTAGTTTGATTGCACCGTGGTCTGAGAGACAGTTTGTGATAATTTCTGTTGTTTTACATTTGCTGAGGAGTGCTTTACTTCCAACTATGTGGTCAATTTTGGAATAAGTGTGATGTGGTGCTGTGAAGAATGTATATTCTGTTGATTTGGGGTGGAGAGTTCTGTAGATGTCTATTAGGTCTGCTTGGTGCAGAGTTGAGTTCAATTCCTGGATATCCTTGTTAACTTTCTGTGTTGTTGATCTGTCTAATGTTGACAGTGGGAGAACCACTGCTCTCTTCAAAGCTGTCAGACAGGGGCATTTACATCTGCAGAGGTTTCTGCTGCTTCTTGTTTAGCTATCCCCTGTTCCCATAGGTGGAGTCTACAGAGGCAGGCAGGCCTCTTTGAGCTGCAGTGGGCTCCACCCAGTTCGAGCTTCCCAGGGCTTTGTTTAACTACTTAAGCCTCAGCAAAGGTGGGCGCCCCTCCCCCAGCCCTGCTGCCGCCTTGCAGTTAGATCTCAGACTGCTGTGCTAGCAAGGAGGGAGGCTCCGTTGGCGTGGGACCCCCGGGCCAGGCGTGGGATATAATCTCCTGGTGTGCCATTTGCTAAGACTCTTGGTAAAGAGCAGTATTAGGGTGGGAGTGACCCGATTTTCCAGATGTTGTGTGTCTCAGTTTCCCTTGGCTAGGAAAAGGAATTCCCTTCCCCCTTGCTCTTCCCAGGTGAGGCGATGCCTCACCCTGCTTCAGCTCTCACTAGTTGGGCTGCACCCATTGACCAGCACCGACTGTTCGACACACCCCAGAGACATGAACCTGGTACCTCAGCTGAAAATGCAGAAATCACCCATTTTCTGTGTCACTCATGCTGGGAGCTGGAGACTGGAGATGTTCCTATTCGGCCATCTTGGCCATCCCCCCCACAATGTGTGCATTTTTCTAACTTGGATGATATTTTTAAAATGGAGATTCTCAATGCAAGACACTCAACCATGGAAAATAAAAATTCTCTCTTTCTCTTTCAGAGATTCTGGGGCACCAAAGACCTTGATCCTCAACAGGACCTGGGGAGAGAGGTAGAGAGAGTCTCTGTGTCATCCTGACCCTATCCAGGCCCCTTGCCTTTGCCAGGTGAGGGCCACTCATACTCCATCTCTCACACACCTGGGCTCCATCTACACTCCCTCATTTTTCTCTGGGTGTCCATGTGCAATAAAATCTCAGATACTCACATTCTGGGAGAAAAGTGAGATTCCTAAGTCTCGTCCTTGATTTGTGTGCTACTTAGCTCAAAACCTGCACGAAGACAGGGACAGGTGCAGGTGATCAGACTTCAGCTACAATGCCGTCTTCACTTGGGGCGGAGCACTCAGGACCCCTCCTCAAGTTCTCTTTGTTATAACAGAAAACATCCTTAAAATCTATATGAGGAATTTAAAGAAGAAATGAATTCAAATCCCTCTCCCTCCCTCCTCTCTTTCTGTTTTACTCTTTAGTTTTATTGACTGTGAATTTAAACTATTTTTTAAAACTTGATCCAAGTTAACAAAAAAATGTATATTATGATGAATTCATGATTAAACTAGTACTTATGTAGCCACCACAATTATAGTTGTGGCCTGTTGCTAACACCCATTGACTCCTGTGTTCCTTCCCTACCACGTGACCTTCTTGCACCTACTGGCAACCATGCTTCTGCCCTTCTTTTTGGCTTTGCTTTAGTTTTATCACTTTGTTGAATTTTGCCTGTAGATATTTATCTTGGATTTTTTTTTCTTTGCATCATGCATCTTTTCTAAAATATTTCTGTTTTTAGGATTCATCTATGTTGCCGTGTAGAGCTGTAGATCCTTCCTTTTCACTGGTCTCCACTCTGGAGTTTTATAAATTGGCCAACACATATTCAGCAGTTTTATTCTTGGTAGATATTGGGTGACTTCTAGCTTGAGGCTATTGAAACATTGTCTTCTACGCAAAATTCTCCTGATCTCATGCTGATAATTTCTTATTTCAAGGAGAGTGGCCAGAAAGTCGATTGAATCCCTGAAATGTCAAGCAGGTGTCTGCCTTTCTGCTTGGTGAATAGAAATAAATTGTCCAAAAGAAACACAGAGACCTACTGGGAAGACAGGGATCAGGACACTCTGAGGATTAAAGTCTTTAGAGCATTTCAGATGGAGGGGGCTGGCCCAGAATTCTCTCCAAAGGAGACACTCCAGGGAGAACATTTACTCTTGGTTAGCCTGGGGCATTAGGAGGGGTCTTCTGAGATCAATGGTTAGGATTTACTGGGTGAGGGGAGGCAGTGGGGGCACTGCAGGGAGTGGCAATGGAAGTGTCCTAACCTTGTGTCTGTGGTGGAGATGAATGAGGCCTACAGAAGAGACTATCAGTAAGAGCCGTCATTGTGTGCCCTGATCAAAGAGTTTGCCTTCTATCCACCTATGACCAAGATTTACACTCTGGAAAGTAGTATCTCCCCTTTTCACAGTTTGAGCCTACAGCTCCTTTTCTGTGAAGTGACTTTTTCCTTTCTCAGTCTGCAAAGAGGAAGGGAGAAGGGCATGATCACCCATGAGCACTCTTTAAATGAACAAATCCGATTTCTGCATCTGTGCTCTACCTTTCGAAAAATGGTGTTGCATACCCGTTGTTCCTGAACTGAGGGGATGAGCATATGAGTTTCTTTCTCTGGTGATTTTCTTCTTGGCATTTTTCAAAGTTAAGTGGAGGGACATATGATATATGGGGTTTAGGCAGAGTAATGGGAGCCCCCAAGGGTTCCTGCTCCCTTGTTTTCAGTGTAAAGAGTGGGGTTCCTACTCAGTTCTGCTCAGCTCAGACACAGCCCTACCCTCCCTGTCAAGGCTCAGTTATTCAAGCCTCCAATCCCACTGCTACACCTCAGTGACTCATCTGAAATTGTGTAGGGTTGGTTGAGAGAGTCTGACATATAGTCAATGCTATAGAAGGATGTGGTTGCTAATGTCTTCTCAGACATTTCACTGGCCTTTTCACTTTTTGTGTCTCAGGAAGATTTATCCTCTTTGACTCATTCACACCACCCATAAAATCCCCCAAGCCCTCTTGATGATGACCACTTTATCTTTCTCCCCATGAAGGCAAGAACCAAATTCTGTGAAGTTGGATTAAGTTTTAATGAGCAAAAGTAAGGATTGAAGTGAGAAAAGATCACGCCGTTAGCTGGCTTTGGGAATCCCATGCTCACGTACATCAGAGATGCCTTGACAACATGAAGTCTGGTTATCTCTTTCAATTGCTGACCTTAAATGTGGTCAGGTAGATATCTCTCCACACTTGCACCATCTTCACAGAACTGACCGGGACTCGATGGTGAAAGGTGTAATAGGCTTGGCCATTGACCATTACCTACAGAAGGGAAAAATACATCAGAAAGACAGTATTCCACCAAACAAGCTTTCAGCCTGCTCTCTATGGTGTCGTAGTACCTGAAACATCCAACCAGAAAATGCCTCATTATATAATTGGACCTGGTAGACACACTTCTTTTTTGCAGACTACCTTTGGTAACGATTTGAGACAGCTGCTCTCTGTATTTTCAATGTTTCCTCTCATTTCTCCAGCGAGGCTCTATCACTCCGTGTCACATGGGCCATAGTTGCTCAGCCTCCCTGCTATGCTGGAAGATCTCCAAGGCCGGGGACTTGTTTCCTAAACTTGAATCCCTGCATCTTGCACAGGGCCAGCCACGGGGTCAGTGCTCAGCAATGTTCGCTGAATGCATACATTTCAGTTACACAAACTATGACTGTTGCTTCCTGCTGATGACCCAGTTTCTCTCTGGAATTGCTCAGATCCAAGCTGGTGGTGGCAAGGAAGGAAACTCAAGTGTTCTCAGAGAGGTGGGACTGGATTAATGTGATAAAACATAGGATATTATCTTTAACAGCTTATAAACATAGAATAGCACCTCTGACTTTAATGTGAATAAAATGTGAATCTTTTGGCCTACCCATTTGAAATGTCAGAAAGTTTGATCGTGTTTTTTATTACTGAGGCTACACAGGGAGTCATATTTTGGGTTTCATTCTCAAATTTAAAATCCATGCATCTTTGAACCAGTTATTCCATTTCTTTATAACCATGTTCCAATATAAATAGGGAAAAGTTGGCAATGACAAAAGGGTTGATTAGAAAGCTTAACACAGTAACATCTGTGAGAGCAAAACATTGGAAACCAACTCTTGTAAAGGGTCAAGAGCAGCAAGCTAGGAAAATCCTTCTGGGGGATACTATATAATCCTTATAAAATGAGGCAGCACCACGGATAGATTATTTCCCCAATATGTATTCTTTGGGTACAATTCAACTGTCATTCCTAAAGTATAATGTGTAGAGACACTTATACCAGCATTTGTTTAAAAAGAAATGAAAGCATATATATGGGCGTACGTATATGCTTTTCTAAGGGTAGACTATCTGTGGAAGAAGAGTAGAGAAGCTAGTAATATTGTCCTGAGGATTGGGATTGAGGAGTGAAAAGAAGCCTTCATATTGGACTGACTAAAACAATTTTATTCATATGTATATCTTATCCATTTAGCTACATGAAAATTTAAATAACATCATAAATGGAAATGAGAGCTATGGGAAACATAGAGGATATTCTTCATTTTTGGAAAAATGGCAAGTGAACCAACATTGACCCTGATCAGGAATGGGAAAAAAGCTGAGGATGGCAGTGCAAGCAGAGGTGACGGCAGTGCAAGCAACAACACTTGCTGAATGAGAGAGAGAAATGAGAAAAGTAAAGGGAACCCCTGTGTGGGTGATGAAAAGCCTGGAACAAGGGGAATTATGGGTGATTAAAAAGCCTGGGACAAGGGGAGTTGTGAGTGATGAAAAGCCTGGAACAAGGGGAATTATGGGTGATGAAAAGCCTGGGACAGGGGGAGCTATGGATGATGAAAAGCCTGGGACAAGGGGAATTATGGGTGATTAAAAAGCCTGGGACAAGGGGAGTTGTGGGTGATGAAAAACCCGGGACAGGGGGAGTTATAGAGCAGAGGGATTTATCTGGAGCTACAGCATGAAGATCTGTCTCCTGCTCTGAAAGCCCATGGAAGCCAGATACGGGAAGCTCCAGGGGTGCTCACCTGGTACTTATCTTCCAGGACCAAGATTTTCAGTTCAAATTCTTGGCCATCCTGAAAGGGCATATTCTTGGATACCACCTCCTCCTTCCAGGTCCTAAACTCACGGCTGTTCATGACCACACGATTGCCAAAGTACACTTGGAAATGGAAGGCAATGTCTGAGTCGTCCTTCATCTCGGTGTGGAAATCCACCTGCAGATGTGGTTCGTTGCTAGGGGCAGAGCACACAGTGTTGGGCAGGTCCCTTTCTTGTGGGACACACACAAGACACACACACAAGTCTCTTTGCCCCTTCCATAGTGGAGCAAAGACTTGTTGGTATTCTAGGCCTTGTCACTGCGGAGCTGCTTCAGCTCCTTGTGTTCTCCCTGCATGGAAAGAGATGCTCCACGCCTCATCCACAGGTGGAAACTGAGCCATAGTCACTGACTTGGTCATATGAAGTGTCCATTTTCTGACAATTCTATGCACTTTAATAGATATAGTACCACAGCCCCAAACCTTGAGTGTCCTTTTCTCCTAGACCCATGACTAGCTCCCGTGCAGCCGCTGTACATCCTTCCTCCTTCCACCTCCCATCCCTGCACCAGGGAGTACTCACAAGAAACAGACAACCGGTTTCCCTTTGATTGTCACTGTAGATCCAGTAGACAAGGACACAGACTCTGTGTGTGGCACCTGCCAGGGAATTGAGAGTGGGTGAGAGGGGCAGGGCCAGGTACGGCCTGCCCCCCCGTAACAGATTCCCGTGGTGCAGCCAGTTAGAGATCAAATGGTAGACTCAGGCCTCCCTGCTCCCACCCTACCTCAGTCAGGACCCCGTATTTTTGAAGACAACGGGGCCCATAATTAGGAGCAGAGCTTCAGAAACTGAGCTGCCTCAGTTAGATCCTTTATTGTGCTGAATACTGGCAGTGAGATGTTAACATATTTTGAACCTTTTTTTTTTTTTTAGACAAAGTCTCATCATATCACCCAGGCTGTAGTGCATTAGCACAATCACAGCCCACTGCAACCTCAGCCTCCCAGACTCAAGCTATCCTCTCACCTCAGCTCCTTGAGTAGCTGAGACTACCGCTCCACACCCAGCTAATTTTACATGTATTTGGAGCATTGGGGTTTCACGATGTTTCCCAGGTTGGTCTGGAGTGTGTAGGCTCAAGGGATCCTCTGGTCTCAGCCTCCCAAACTGCTGGATTACAGGGGCGAGCCACTTTGCCCAACCAGCAGTGGGACCTTAGATCTATTGCTTAAACGCTCCCTGCCTCAGTTTTCCCAATACAAAGATGATAATCCAAAATACCTACTTAGTATCATGTTTTTGTAATACAGTAGTTAGGATATGTAAACCCTTTAGCCTAATCCCTGGCATGTATAGGACCTGTTGGGGGTCCTCTAACAAACAAGGAGGGTCCTTGTGGAACACAGACTTGTGATCATCTTCAACTCTGAAACTGTGAAAGCAAGATGTGAGGATGTAACAGTAGAGAGATTCACGCCAGTAAGAAACAACACTTGTTGAAAGAGAGGGAAATGAACAGGAGAGAACAGGAAACCCCCGTGTGTGGGCGGCACATACATCACAATCATCAAGGGCAATGGACGTCCTTTCCAGAAGGGGCACACATTGCTGAGAGCACAACCGCAGTACTTGCACAAATGAAGACTGTGAGTCAGGGAAGTTATTGGATAGAATCTATAAGCGGATGGTAGTTTTCCTTTTTGAAACAGGGTCTCACACTGTCACCCAGGCTGGAATGCAGTGGCACCATCAAAACTCACTGCAGGCTGGGCGCGGTGGCTCACGCCTGTAATCTCAGGACTTTGGGAGGCCAAGGTGGGCGCATCACTTGAGGTCAGGAGTTCAAGACCAGCCTGGCCAATATGGGAAACCCCGTCTCTACTGAAAATACAAAAACTAGCCAGGAGTGGTGGCACATGCCTGTAATCCCAGCTACTCGGGAACCTGAGGTAGGAGAATCACTTGAACCTGGGAGGTGGAGGTTGCAGTGAGCCGAGATTGCACCACTGCACTCCAGACTGGGAAACAGAGAGAGACACTGTCTCAAAAAAAAAAAAAAAAAAAAAAATTACAGCAGGCTTGAAGTCCTGGGCTTCAGTGATCCTCTTGCATCTGCCCCCAAGCAGGTGGAACTACAGGCATGCAGCACCAGTTTCAATACATTTTTAAATTTTTGGAAAGATGAAACCTTGTTATGTCTCCCCGGCTGGTCTACTAGTCCTGGCCTGACATAGTCCTTTCAATTCGGCCGCCCAAAGTGCTGGGATTACAGGCCTCAGCAAACATCTTGATGAATATCCACTGTCAGCTCTGCCTGAACAGAGGCTAAACTTCTACTTTCCTGGTTTTGGATGATTCAGTCTCTTAAATCAAGTCCCTCAATGTCCTTCTTTAGTGAATCAGAATCTGCTCACCATCCTGGCGCTCAATGGGAAGGACAGGCTAGGGTGGGAGACAGGGAGAGACCCGAGGCTGGAGGCAGGAGCAGGGGGTCACCGTGTGCAGATTCCACCTAAGGAACCATCAGCCCCACAGTCTGTGTTTCTCACCCCACTCTGCTTGGGAAAAGGCAGCTGAGGATTCATGCATTCTGCTCTCATAAATGCTCAGAGATAAATCCTCAGTAACTCAAGGTCCTCAAGATCCCACCAGTTCTGCCACCGGGATCCACGTTGACGCACAAGGGAAGTTGCACACCTGCTTAGTCAGAGGTACTGCTATATGGGGAGGAACCTTCACATGCACAGAAGGCCACATGCACGTTCCCAGTTCAACACCCAGTCACATCCCAGCACACACAGTCACACAGAGTCACACCACTGATTCACACACACCTGCTCACTGTGCATATAAAGATGCTCACACACTGGTCCGGCTGTGCTCACACACACACTCACATCACAGTCATGAAGACAAAGTATAGTTACCTGATTACAATCACTTACACACCCACCCATATCCTGGAGGGTCATACACTTCCCATCTAAAGTCACATCATTTTTAGCAGAGTTCACTGTCATCAGACACCATCACATGCTCCCAGAGGGTTACAATGGTCCAGCATCCACACCCCAGACCCCACAAGCATCTCAGGTACCATAGCCCTGGGGTCTCTCTTCCACACACCTACAACTCTCAGTAAAGCATTGACAGTAGACATTTTCATACTTTCATCTCATAAAATCTCCTTCTTCCCTTTTTTGTGTGACCTGAGATTACTGAAGGCTGTGCCTTTTTAACTCACGGGTAGCAGTGACATTGTTGTCTCCCTCTGGGTGGCTCTTCTGAATTGTGTCCAGGCTTCTGTGTGAATCTCTGAGTTGCAGAATTTAAAGGGTCCCTATCAGCCCTGCCCTCTGGCTTCATTCCTGATTCCAAGCCCCTCCCAGGAAGGTTTCCCCACAGAGTGAGAAGGGGTGGGGTGTCAGAAACAGACTCAGTCACAACCACACCTGTTTGGAGGCCTGTGTCTGTGATGCAGCAGAAATGACCGTGAGGGAGGTACTGGGGGAGGAAGGGGTCACCAGGGAAATGCACAGATAAAGATGATGGAGTGAGGATGAGGGGTGTGAATTCCAGCCTCCATGCTTCTCATGAAGCCTTTTCTCCACTGTGCAGAATCTACCAGGAAGGTGTGCATTTTCCTAACCTGTGCAATGGCAAAAAGCTGGAGATCCTGGGGGCAAGGCACTCGACCTTGAAAGAAAATCCTCCCCCTTCTTCTCCAGTGGTTCTGGGAGAGCATAGATCTTGATCATTTGCAGGACTTGGGGACAGAAGTAGAGAAAACACTTGTGTCTTCTTTACCCACCCTCAGACCCCTTGGCTCTGCCAGGTGAGGGCCACCCCCACTCTGTCTCTCAGACACCTGGGTTTTAGGTATGCCCTCTTATTTCTCTATTCTTTTCAAGTGAATCAAAATGTGAGGCTTTTGTTCTCCTACAGATTCTTGGAGAAAGGTGAGCATTCTCACTGACAAGTGGGAGCTAAGCTATGAGGATGCATTGGCATTAATATTAGTCGTGCCTGACCCGACAATAAATTCCACTTTCCCTGGTCTAAAACCTTGACAATTCATTTCCAAGCATACACTCCAAATTTCTGCTCATATAAATCAGCACAATCACACAGTTCTTTTGGTACATAAGGTATTTCCTTAAGATTAATTCATAATGTCATCCCACTGCATTCCTTGGGTTTGGCCTCTGGGTATGGACATGGAAGAAATGAAAAGGGTCAGAGGTCACAATTAAGGAGCTTTGGAAACCCCATTCTAGGAAACCACCCTCACACCCTGCCCAGAACCGTAGCTGATAAGAAATAATCAGAGAAGGGAAAGAGGAACTGCTTTACCTTGCAACAGATATGCAATAGAATTTTAAGTAATATCCCAGTTATTCATCTGAACTGGGGAAGAAATATCAGTTCAGGGTGTCTGGCCACCTAGTAAGTTGTGCATAAAGATGTTGATGTTATTTCCTTCTCAGGCATTCCAGCAGTCCTGTCAGTGATCCACAGAGATTGATCTTTGACTTCCATATCCTCTGCACAATAGCCCATACTTCTGCTGGCTACAACTATTTCTTCAGAAACCCATTATGCCCTATGACTTGCTTTCAGTCTTTCTTTTCAACCATGTCTTTTCCAGCACACACTGTTCCCCTGAAAAACTTTAGGTTTTATGTATGAAATTATAGAATGGCTGGAATTTGCTTTAAAATAATCTGGGGATGATGGTTCTCTACTTTTGCATACATTTGAAATTTTTTACAAAATAGGACTGTTTGGTTTATTCATGATCATTTGTTTGAGTTCCTTGTAGATTCTGGATATTAGTCCTTTGTTGGATGTACAGGTTGCAAAGATTTTCTGCCACTCTGTGGGTTGTGGGTTTACTCTCCGGATTGTTTCTTCTGCTGTGCAGAAGTTTTCTGGTTTAATTAAGTCCCATCTATTTATCTTTTTGCTTTTGTTGCATTTGTTTTAGAGTTATTGATCATGAGGCCTTTGCCTAAGCCAGTGTCTGGAAGGGTTTTTCTGACGTCATCTTCTAGAATTTCTATAGTTTTGGGTCTTAGATTTAAGTCTTCATCCATCTTGAGCTGATTTTTTGTATAAGGTGGGAGATGAGGATCCAGTTTCATTCTTCTACATGTGGCTTGCCAATTATCCCAGCACCATTTGTTGAATAGGGCATCATTTCCCCCACTTTATATTTTTGTTTACTTTGTCAAAGATCAGTTGGCAGTAACTATTTGACTTTATATCTGGGTTTTCTATTCCGTTCTGTTGGTCTATTGACTTTTGTACCAGTACCATGCTGTTTTGATGACTATGACATTATATTAACAGTATGACTTGAAGTCAGGTAATGTGATGCCTCCACATTTGTTCTTTTTTTTTTTTTTTTTTTTTTTTTTTGCGACAGAGTCTCGCTCTGTCGCCCAGGCTGGAGTGCAGTGGCGCAATCTCGGCTCACTGCAAGCTCCGCCTCCCGGGTTCACGCCATTCTCCTACCTCAGCCTCCCCAGTAGCTGGGACTACAGGCGCCCGCCACTGCGCCCGGCTAATTTTTTCATATTTTTTAGTAGAGACGGGGTTTCACCATGGTCTCGATCTCCTGACCTTGTGATCCGCCCGCCTCGGCCTCCCAAAGTGCTGGGATTACAGGCGTGAGCCACCGCGCCCGGCCCACATTTGTTCTTTTTGCTGAGTCTTGCTTTGGTATGTGGGCTCTTTTTGGTTCCATATGAATTTTAGGATTGTTTTTTCTAGTTCTGTGAAAAATGATGGTGGTATTTTGATGGGAATTGCGTGGAATTTGTAGATTGCTTTTGGCAGTATGGTCATTTTCACAATGTTGAAATTTCACACGGGATGCTAGAGCATGGGATATGTTTCCATTTGTGTCATCTATGATTTCTTTCAGCAGTGTTTTGTAGTTTTCCTCGTAGAGGTCTTTCACCTCCTTGGTTAGGTATGTTCCTAAGTATTTTATTTATTTTGTTGCAGCTATTGTAAAAGGGGTCGAGTTCTTGATTTGTTTCTCAGCTTAGTTGCTGTTAATGTATAGCAGAGCTACTAGTTTGTGAACATTAATTTTGTATCCTGTAATTTTGTTGAATTTATTTTTCAACTCTAGGAGCTTTTGGAGGAGTCTTTAGAATTTTCTAGGTATACAATCTTATCATCAGCAAACAGCGACAGTTTGACTTTGTCTTTACTGATTTGGATGCCCTTTATTTCTTTCTCTTGTCTGATTGCTCTGGCTAGGGCTTCCAGTTCTATGTTGAAATAGAAGTGGTGAGAGTGGGTATCATTGTCTTGTTCAAGTTCTCAGAGGGAATGCTTTCAACTTTCTGCTGTTCAGTATATTGGCTGTGGGTTTGTCATAGACGGCTTTTATTACTTTAAGTTATGTCCCTTCTATGGCTATTATGCTGAGGGTTGTAATCATAAAGGGGTGCTGGATTTTGTCCAATGCTTTTTCTGCATCTATTGAGATGATAGTGTGATATTTGTTTTTAATTCTGTTTACATGGTGTATCACATTTATTGATTTGTGTATGTTAAACCATGATTGCATTTTTTGGCATGCAGGGATGCCATGGGTTTCATCTGATCGTGGTGGATTACCTTTCTGATAAGCTGTTGGATTTGGTTAGCTAGTACTTTGTTGAGAATTTTTGCATGCATATTCATCAGTGATATTGGTCTGTACTTTTCTTTTTTTGTTATGTCCTTTCTTGGTTTTGGTATTAGGGTGATATTGGCTTCGTAGAATGATTTAGGGAGGATTTCCTCTTTATCTCATGGAATAGTGTCAACAGGATTCGTACCGATTCTTCTTTGAATGTCTGATAGAATTCAGTTGTGAATCTGTCTGGTCCTGGACTTTTTTTGTTGGCAACTTTTTTATTAGGATTTCAATCTGGCTGCTTGTTATTGGTCTTATCAGGGTTTCTAATTCTTCCTGGTTTAATCTAGGAGGGTTGTATATTTCCAGGAATTTGTCAATCTCCTCTAGATTTTCTAGTTAACCCACAGAAAGGTGCTCATGGCAGCCTTGAGTGATCTTTTTGTATTTCTGTGGTACTGGTCATAATATCTCCCAATTTATTTCTAATTGAGCTTATTTGGATCTTCTCTCTTCTTTCTTGGTTAGTTTTGCTAATGGTACATAATTTTATTTATCTTTTCAAAGAATCAGCTTTTGTTCTCATTTATCTTTTGTATTTTTTTTTGTTTCAATTTCATTTAATTCTGCTCTGATCTTGGTTATTTCTTTTTTTCTGCTGGGTTTGGCTTTGGTTTGTTCTTCTTTCTCTAATTCTTTGAGGTGTGACCTTAGATTGTCTATTTGTGCTCCTTCAGACTCTTTGATGTAGGCATTTAAGGCTTTGAACTTTCCTCTTAGCACTGCCTTTGCTGTATCCCAGAGGTTTTTACATGTTTTTGGTACATTGTGTCGTTATTATCATTCTTTTCAAAGAATTTTTAAATTACCATCTTGACTTCATTCTTGTCCCAACAATCATCCAGGAGCAGGTTATTTAATTTCTATGTATTTGCATAGTTTTGAGGGCTCCTTTTGGGGTTGATTTTCAACTTAATCTCACTGTGTTCTGAAAGAGTACTTGATAGAATTTCAATTTTCTTAAATTTATTGAGACTTGTTTTGTGGCCTGTCATATGGTCTATCATGGAGAATGTTTCATCCGCTGACCAATAGAATGTATATTCTGCAGCTGTTGGGTAGAATATTCAAATATCTGGTAAGTCCAAGCTATAGTTCAAATCCATTGTTCTATCAGCCACTGAAAATAGACATACACGTTAATTATTGCAATAGCAAAATGCTACAAGCTGGGTTGACCCTATAAAATCTTCCTTTTCTGGGAAAAAGTCCATTAATAATTTCAAATAACTAAAGAAAGAATGGACAGACAGTTAATAAAACTATAACAAGAGAATCTTGGTAGTCATTCTTTCTTCTTCTCTTCCAATCACGTTACATCTTCAATCTAGGATATACAGTTTGCTCTTCCTTTAAAACTTATCAACATTCTGACCAATTCTACCAGCTCTACTTCCATGATGCCAACCAAACAGGATCAAATGCATCTAATGTTTTTTTTTTTTAAAGGGAGCAGTTTGACTGCCAGGACTTACCGAGGCCAATAATATGAAGAAAGCTTCTGAAAATACTGTAAAAGAATTTTCTTTAAATAGTGAACCAAAAAAGCCCTTCCATTTGCGTAGTTACTTCAACAAAACTGCAAATTCACCATCAGTTAAAACTGTAAATATAGGTAATAAAGGAAAGTCCATCATTTCATCTTATTCTTCTGTTAGCTGTGACTCCATTTCTTTGCTTCCTCTTCTCACAAATCTCCTTGAAAGAAGTGCATATTCCTTAAGTATTATTAATAATAAAATATCAAAAGACAATAGATGTTGGCATGGATGCAAAGAAAAGGGAATGCTAGTACACTACTGGTGGGAACATAATTGGTTCTACCTCCATGGAAAACAGTATGGCGATATCTCCACGAATTAAAAAAAGACCTAGCATTCCACCTAGTAATCCCA